CATCCACTTAAACATCTCAAGCCCACTTGGGAGCAGATTCCCTGCTGGGTGCTCATGCTGCTGAGTCACGCAGCAGAGCCCAGATTCAAAGGCAGGTCTGTCTCCAGAGCCCGCTGACCCCACTAACAACCTTGTGGACTGCATGGCTAACTAAACTTGGTATTTAGCAATGTCTAGTGTAAGAGAATTTTAGGTAATCAGAAGAGCAAAGCCTAGGTCTTGGTCAGCGCATGTGATCTATGTACATCACAAACCTACTGAGCACATCCAAGCATCCAACAACTCCACTAAGTAGAAATGTGCACACCATTTATTTATTTATTTATTTGGCAGTACGGGGCCTTGAACCCAGGGCTTTGTGCTTGCTGGCAGGCACTCTACCACTTGAGTTACTCTGCCAGCCTGTGCACACCATTATGATTCACTGTGTTCCTAAACAGGAAAAGGGAAAGCACTTTTTCTGTAACTATTTAAATGTCCTGAAGAGGAGCCCTTTAAAGGATCCTGTAGAGACTAGCCAGTTGTAAGTGACCATGTGGGGATATCTGAGTGCAATAGAGAGGACATGCCCCAGGATGCTCTGTGTTCCTCAGACCTGTGAGAACCACTGAGATGGGAGCTGGTGGGGACCCCACCCAAGGATGCCCTTGTGCTTGTGTGCCAGAGAAGAGGAAGCGCTCGGAGCCCAAGGGAAATTAGTACTTGCCAGGCCTCTAGGCTGGACTTGGGGAGGGGGAAGCTGTATGCACACTCACACACATGCGCAGACGTTCACCTGAACACCCACTCTCCCAGCACAAACTTGCTGCTGCCTCTGCCCTGCAGCAGGAAAGGGCGCATGTGGCTGAGCTGCTCGGAAGACCATCCCTCCTCTGCACTTAGGCAAGGCCCAGCTATTTGTACCTTCTTATCCCCTGTCCTTTGCTATGTCCTCCAGGAATGTCATTAGATTCCTTCAACAGACTTGGGGAGCCCTACTATGTGCTAGGTACTTGGAAAGGTACCTAAGTCTGAAGGAGAGAGAGAGAGGAAGAGAAGAAAAGAGAAGCAGCATGTCCAGAGAGGGAGAGGGAACAGCCAGAAGCAATGTGCCTGTAGCAGTGTGTTCCGTTAAGAGGATCTACGGGTGGGGGTGGGGGTGGGGGTAATGTGTGAACACATGCATGCGTGCGCACATAACCATGAACATGAGCCTGTGCACGGGATTTCCTGCTGGGGATGAAGAGCCACATCCCCGGGCAAGAGCCTGCTACACAGAATTAGCAGGCTAGTGGGCTCTGACCACCCCAACTTTCAGTGTAAATAAACACTTGCAGCAGAAGACTGAGCAGGACCATGGAGCATCACAGTGGGGCGCGCTGTTCACTCCATGCCTTTTCACATGGGAGGTGGCCTGAGAGCACAGACGCCAACAGCACAGGCTGCCCGGTGTTCAACTCTTGCACCACTACCTACTACCTGTGTGATTTTAGGCAAGTGAGTTAACCTCCCTGAGTTTCAACTTAGTCCATATTAAGAAAGGACAATGAAAATATCAGTGTCTACCTTACGGGGCAATGATTAGAACTAAATAAGATACCGTGGGTACAGCACACCCAGCAGTCAGTGCTCAATGCATCTTGACCATTATGTTTCTGAGGCCAGAGGAAAGGGGGATGCTGAAATCAGGGAAATACCCTGGAAATCAGGGAAGACCCCCCAAATGCTCTCTCTGCCTCTTGCAATCCCCCTCCCCTCCACGCACACAGAGCTGCTCCTACCTCCACTGCACCTCTGAGTGCTCACCTACGCAAGCATCCCCCTCTCTCTGTCATGGCCACATTTACCAACTGACTCACCCCAACCACAGTCCCAGAGCTCAGCCCCCAAAGCCTGCTTCCTCCCAGTTTCCCCTGGCAGCACCTACCTGCCCACTCCATGGATGGCAGGATGGAGGAGTTGTTGCCAGGGGACACTCACATTCACAGACCTCCCTCTGCAATTCCAGCCAAAAACATGGCAGCCTCCACCCATCACACAGAGCTCTGCACCCCACCTGTCTGGCCCTGGTCTCCACAAAGGGGTTCGATCCATTAAATTTTCCTTTCCATTCTTATCTATGGAATCCTTCCTGAGCCCAGGGAATTCACACTGAAGGGGCTGAGACCCTACCCTCCAAGGGACACGGGAGACCAGATGCTAACTACGCCAGTTATTCTCAAATGTTAGTGAGCCATAGAGTCACCTGGGCAACTGGTTAAGACATGCCTCACATATAGCACAGTGGTGCACACCTATAATCCCAACACTCAGGATGCCGAGGCAGGAGGATTCGAGGCCAGCCTGGGCAAATAGCAAGACCCTCTCAAAAAAAAAAAAAAAAAAAAAAAAACAACCATCCCATGTTGAGTTTCTGACTCAGCAGGGTTGGACAGGAGCCTAAGACTTGCAGTCCCAGCACCTTCGCAGGTGATGCTGATGTGACCAGTTTGGGGATCACATTTTTTGAGAGCCTTTGGTCTCTTGCAAACTGTGATCCAAAGCAGAGTGAAGCAAAGGCTTTCCCAGAGAGCAGGAGAGAAAGCAGGACAAGGGCCAACAGCAGAGGGATGGCATAAGCAAAAGCCTGGTGGCCCAAGAGGGACTCCAGTGTTGCCTGGAGGCAGAAGGGATAAGGCTGAAGGGCACGTGGGGCCAAGTGGTGAAGGGGCCAGCAGCAGCAGCCACACCCCTCCTTGGGACTCACCAGGCAGTTCCTTTGCATTGAGTGCCTCTGTAGGCTCCCTGGGCTGCAGACCAAGCCTTTGTTTCACTCTGCAGCAAGGCAGCATCCCTGCCCCAGGCCTGGCTTTTCTGGACTGCCATGGCGGCTGCCAGTGTCTCCACCCGCCCTCCCCAGGCAGCTCCCTGGCACTGCTGGAGCCAACCTTGGGGTGCCGGGGGCTGTGCCAGGTGAGCCAGGCATGGCGGCTGGGGAGGAGGCCTGGCCAGCCCCAGACCTTGTCTGTCCAGATCTCTCTGTCTTTTGTCATAACCACCTCTGCCAGCATGAGTGTGCACTCTATCAGCCCAGGATCTGGGCTGGGTGTGTGTTTGTTGCCACTTGAGCCAGAGCAGTTACTATGGGTAGATAATAATAGCAATCGTAATCCCTCATAATTGGACCAGACTTTGCTGTCTGCAGGGCACTTCCATGCCCATGACCTCATCTGACTTCCACAGCTACCCTCTGAGAACAGCAAGGCTAGAGTTACTCTCCCCATTTTCCAGCTGAGCAAACACAAGCCCAGATGGCCTGAAGTCACATCTCCAGTGAGTAGCATCCTCGGAATTGGGGCCTGGGAGTTCTGCCTCCTTGTCCAGTACTTCTTCTCTACCATAACTATCACAATACAGAGCCCGCCTGCCCTGCTGCTAGGCAGGAGCTCCGTGGTGCAATAACAGGGACTTTGTCCCACCTGTGGGGGCAGTAACTGCAAGTGCATTGATGTGAAGGTGCATCAGATCTGTTGAGATGTGGGCAGCTCAGAGTCACCCAATCCAGCAAGGGAAACAAAGCAAGGCCCAAGGAGGGGAGGGAAGCAGTCATGACCATGGCTATTGCTAGGGAGCACAGGAAGCTGCAGGTATCTCTGACACTCTGGGTCAAACATTGCCTGAGTCCTGAGCAAGAGTAGCCCAAAGGTCTGTGGGATAACCTGGACTATCAGGTTTCTTCCAGAGGGACCAGAAGGAAGGGAATTGATCTCCAGCCCCAGGAGCCCTGCCCAGGGGCCAAAGAACAGTATCTCCCAATGTCCTCTGCCTGACTATGCACAGGCTTATATTCCTGTGCAGGGTTCCAGGCTGCAAAGACAGGTTCCTGGGCTCTGTGTGCACACCTAGGGTGGGTGTGTGTCCACAGCAGGACTGTGTGGGTGGCCATGGAAGGGTTCAGATCGGGGAGGCAGGACATCAGGCTCTCATCTGAATCTACCACTGTCTAGCTGGACTGTGTCCCTGCTGTAAACCAGGGCCATCTCTCTAAGAATGAGCAAGCCCAGGAAAGAGATAAGCCTATGTGAGGGGTCCACCTATGTAAGGTGGGTAGCAGAGCTAACATCTGTGGAGTGGGGGTAGCTGGGCTAACTCTCTTCCAGAGCACTCAGGGCCCCACACCTGGTGCCATGTGAGCACCCTTGTTCCATGGACATGCCTTGCTTTTCTAGACACCATAGTGTCACACCCCTCCCAGTGGCTCAAGGAGGGGAAGAAGGCAGAAGGGACCATGGAGACAGTCAGGAAGGCTCTCACCAGCACAGCTCCCCTGCAAGATGACAGCAGAGTTTGCCACCTGACAGAGGGGAAACAGAGTCCAAGTGTCAGAGGTGGCTTTCCTTATGGGTGGCCCCAGCTTGGAAGGCCTCCAGGCAGAAGAGTGCTGAACTCCTCACAGGGCTCTGAAACACAGAGGGCACCAGTGCCATGGCCAGAAGCCACATCAAGGACAACCCAGTGATACACACTGGGAGCCTAGGGCGGTGGGTGGGGCATCACTCTCTCCCAGGGCCACCAAAGATGATGTCACCTGCTCCTGAGCACCCGAACACAACAGAGTGCCTGTGTGGGCGGACTGCCTCACATCTATGGCACCCCAGAAAGCTCCAAACATCTAGGGTAACAGAGGCAGCTCAGAGATAAGAGTGACTTACAAGCTAGCAAGATGCAGACCGCACAGGTTTGGGGACTCTCTGCAAGCCATTCAGAACAGGGGTTCAAGCCTGTGCTCCAACACCATATGGGCTGAAAGCCAGGGTCCTGGAGCTGGACTCCCTGGGTAAAATCCTGTTCCACCTCCAAAATTTACCTACTCAAAGCCTCTGTTTCCTCATCACTAAATTAGGGAAGCCAGAGGTCTCCACCACACTGTTGTGAGGAGTGAGTGATGCATGTGACCCCATCGGGCTGTCATTATGTGGGGCCAGGGTCCCTGGATGCCAACCAGAGGGTCCCCGCTAAGAGCCCATTGCTGGGCTGCTCACCTTTCGGTCCTCCTCCCGCTCTTGAGCAGAGCTGCTGGTGTCCCCCGGGCCACTGGAGGGCATGGCGGGTAGCTGGGCGGTGGGAGGCAGGCTGGGGCTGCGCGGGGCTGGGGGGCTGGTGGGCTTCAGGGAAGGAATTATTGTGGTCTTTGTAAGCGAGAGTTAAAACTTAAACATAGATCCCAGTGTCCAGCCCTCTGATGAGTCGCTGCCTTTGCCTGTAGATTTGGGCTTCCGAAGGTTCCACCTGTGGGGAAGAGAAGTGGGTCAGCAGGGTAAACAGAGTCCAGGACCTGGGTCCCACCTAATCACGGCTCCTCCTTGGGAGGGTTAGTCTTCAGCTCAGGACCCAGCCTGGTCTGAGAGGCCCCTGCCTCTGATCTCTCTAGGCTCAGCCTCACCAGTACCCCAGAGAGTAGGAAACTGAGGCAGATGGCCAGCGGCACTGAGCAGCCTCTGAGAGACTGAGATGATGACAGTCCCCCAGAGCCTCTGTGTTGCTGTGGCACTTCTGGGACTTCCAGTGGCCTCCTGCTCCTCCCTTCTCTTCATTCGCGTCCGTTCTTCCCTTTGAACGCTTCCCACACCCTCCCTCCCACCCTAACCCACCCCTGGGAAACTCCAGCCTCCCCCAGAGGCCCCCAGCCTGACTACATTTTCCTTCTAATCTGTCCTCACCCAACCCCCACACCCACACCACTCCTGCCACGTGGAGGAAGTGAGCGGCAGGCACCCAGTCACAGGATGTAGTGAAATGAATGTCACCTTGCTTCAGGACTAGCGCCTGGGCCTGAGGAAGCTGAGGCCTGAACCCAGTTGATGCTGGACTGATGCCAGCTTTGCTGCGCTCTCTAGGGGTACCCTGTTAGAGAAGCTTGGAGGTGCTGAGGGAGGAGGCCCACCGATCTCTCCCCCATCCCAGAAACTACCCCATTCGCCTTCAAAACTAGTGGGCTTCACTTTCAGCAGGCCCTCCAAACCTGGCCAGATGAACTTTAGGGGCTTTTCTTCCTCCCAGCTCCAGGTGTGGGCTAAGTGCCAGTGAAATAACAAAGCCCATGCCTCTGGCCACAGCTGGGGTTGGCGGCTGCTGCATCGGCCCCCTTTCGAAGGGCCATGCAGCTCTCCAGCTCCCACCCCCCAGGAGACAGCGCCAAGCCCCTGCCTCAAGTGCGTGCCTGCCTGGGAGGGGATTGGCAGCCACAGGAAAGTAGGAGGCAGCTGGATTGGGGCCACCCACACCCTTCCCCTTCCAGTTCCCCGTTCTGCTTCCCTGCTCCCCTCCCTCCTAGGCTTTTCCTCCCATCCCCCTGCAGCCAGGGCTCCCTGGAAAACCAGGAACCGGAGACAGTTCAAGCGAGGCTCTCCCCAGGGCCAGCCCCTTCCCCAGAGGTGGGTGACAGCCTAGCAGGCAGTCGCCCCAGGCCTGGCTCTGCACTGGGAATAGCCAGAGGAAGCTGGAACTGAGAGGAGACTTCTGAGGGCCAGGACAGGAAGGGCCCCATAAGTTAAAAACCCAGATAGGAAAGACGCTGAGCCTCACAGCTACAGCCTGGGGAGGCCCCAGGTGACAAGTCTTATTTCCCACACCCGCAGGCTGGCCCAGGCTGCCTGCCCAAACACCTGAGAGAGTGGATGGCACCAGGGGAGGGGCTCCATGTCAGATACTGTGCTAAGCACATGACACACGTTCCTCATTTAGGCAGCTTCCACTACTTCTCTAGTTTACAGCTGAACCTAAGGCTCAAATAGTTAGGGCATGTCCAGAGTTAGGGGAAGTCCATGACCAAGGAGTGAACCTGACCTCTTAACTCTGAGGGCTGGGTTCTCTACAGCACTAAGTCTTCCACAGAAACAACTCTGCAGAGCCCAATAAAGAATTTATCCGACCCAAACTCCATGGGGCTTCTGTCCACTATTGGCTAGTGGTTTCTTCTCAAGCCCTACCCCCCATTTGTGACCACAATCATCTTCAATCATCCCAAATCAAAACTTTCAGGAAGCGGAAGCTGAGAGAGGCAGAGTCACAGATGAGAATTTGTTCCCTAACTGGGGCTCCTCTGGTCCTCAGTTTCTTATCAGAAAGAGGGGAGGGGAGGTGCAGGGCAGACAAAGTGGAGCACCTTCAGTAGCCCTGAATAGAGACAGAGGAGATGAGGCAGAAAGTAAGCAATAAGAGTTGGTCTCCATGTTGCAGAGGCCCAGAGATACGGAGGGCCCCTGCCCTACAACAGCAGAGGACCTGTGAGGGGAGCCCAGCCAGAGCCTCTGTTCCCAAGGGGAAAGGAGGAAGAAGAGAAGGAAGCAGGCAGGAGAAGCAGGACACCACAAGGCATTAACCCGGACCCCAAGAGCAGACACCCCGGAAGGGAAAGGAAATGTTTCTTCCTCCTCCCAGGTCTCTGACATCTGAGCTACATAAGCTGTCCTCACAGAAAAGAGCTGACTTGGTCAACCCTAGGTTCCTTTGTGTTGCCCAGTAGACCAGCAGTGTCTGTGAGTGAGCCTCAAAATCACTCTGCATCATCTAAAATCATCCAGCATGTGGCCAGGCAGGACAGGTACTACAACCTCTATGGGCACCATTCCGTGGCCAAGGTCCCAAGCCAGGACACAGCACCATCCACCTGCCCTAGGATGGTGAGGATATTCTTCTCCCAGGCACCCTGGTTGCAGCACACGTCCACAGGCCTCATGACTTACCCCTTTCCCCACCCCGTCAAAGGTGAGGTGACAAAACCTACCTCCACGGAAGACCCTTGCCACGAGCCCTCCTGCCAACACCAGCAGCTTTTATTTTCCCCATGGTGGGTTTTCTTGTTTTGAACAAGGACTTAGAAATACTTAAGGAGTTCCACTATGAAACGCTTCTGTCACTGCTTCAGTGACAGATGAGGCTCTGGTGGAAGCCAGGGATGCATCTCAGTGGCCCTGGCTTCCACCGCCAGCACCACAAAATCAAACCAAGCACGTCTGTCATGGAAAAGAGCTGGGATTTTGGCCATACACATTTTACAACATTCTTCAGTCCACTGTAGTAGAAAGATTATTTTTTTAAATGGTTTTTTAAATTTAAGCATGAAGTTTTTTTTTGGTTGTTTTTTTTTTTTTTTGGCATTACTGGGGTTTGAACTCAGGGCTTTGTACTGGCTAGGCAGGCACTCTACCACTTGAGCCACACCTCCAGCCCTAGAAAGATTATTTTTTAAATTAGTATTCATTAATAGCACACAGGGTTTCACTGTGATTCCACAGATGTATACGTTGTAGTCTGAGCAAGTTCACCCTTTATTTTATTCCCTTAACTCCCCTTGATCCTCCCCCCTTTTTAAAGAGTATGTGGCAGGCTGTAGCTATCATTATATATCGATGTGATGTACTTCAATCCTCCTCAAGACCCAGTAACCTCTCTCTGCCCTCTCCTGCTGACTCCCCCAGACAATGCCTTTCACACTCATGTCCCACTATTATCACTTCAGACTACATTCCATAATGAGCAAAAACATGTGACACTTGGCCTTTTTGGGTGTTTTTTGATGGAACTAGCATCTGAACTCAGGGCTTTGCACTTGCCAAGCAGGAACTCTATCACTTGAGCCATGCCTCTAGTTCATTTGGCTCTGGTTATTTTGGAGATGGGGGTCTCATGAACTATTAGTCTGGGCTGGCCTTGAACCATGATCCTCCCGATCTCAGCCTTCCAAGTAGCTAATATTACAGGTGTGAGTCACTTGTGCCTGGTGATACTTGGCTTTTTGAGCTTGGCTTATTTCGCTCAATATGATGAATGGTTAAAGAAAGATTTTTTTTTTTTAAGATGTAAAATCACAGGATTGGACTGTACAAGAGAAAGAGACACTACTAACAAAATTTTGAGATCTGGAAAGCAGCAGTGTGACAGCCACATTTGAGACAGGAGTGTGTAAGTCGATTTATAACAGAGTCCTCAACAGACACTTGATGCCACAGCAGCCAGTACTCTGGAGTCAGAAGATCCATGTGTGACAAGGGAGGGGTGAGGATAGGTAAGACACCTAAAAAATTAGCTAGCATTTGTTGCCCTCAACGCAGAGAAACTAAAGCAGATACCTTAAAGCAACTGAGGCCAATAGGAAAAGGGGAACAGGTACTAGAGAAAAGGTTAGATCAAAAAGAATTAACCTAGAAGGTAACACCCACGCACAGGAAATCAATGTGAGTCAATGCCCTGTATAGCTATCCTTATCTCAACCAGCAAAAACCCTTGTTCCTTCCTATTATTGCTTATACTCTCTCTACAACAAAATTAGAAATAAGGGCAAAATAGTTTATGCTGGGTGTTGAGGGGGTGGGAGAAGAAGGGGGTGGAGTGGGTGGTAAGGGAGGGGGTGGGGGCAGGGGGGAGAAATGAACCAAGCCTTGTATGCACATATGAATAATAAAAGAAAAAAAAAAAAGATCCATGTGTGAAAATCAAGAAGCCAAGTGAAAGGCGTTGCATCCCTCCACCTACTTCCCCCAGAAGTTGGAAGGCTCGCATTATCTGAAAGTCACAGAGCAGTGGTAATACACCCAAGCAGAGGGGACTGAGTTTAATTTAAATGCTGAGATGAGTCCCTCAGGCTGCTCCCCCACTGGGCTGGACATCATGGGGAGCCAGACCCTGATCTTCTTCTCTGGAGAATCTAATCAGTCCAGGAGAAAAGCCCTAAGATGCCAACTGACATTAATGCAAAATGGGGCATGGCTGTTCAGGTCAACCCATGTGGATCTGAGAGTTGACAAGCCCTCAGTCATGCAAGCTTCCAGACAACTTTTAAGTCTCTGTTCTTTTGTTTGTTTCATTTTGTGAAAAGGTCTCCCTAAGTAGCCCAGGCTGGTTTTGATCTCTCCATCCTCCTGCTTCGGGCCTCCCAACTGCTGGGATTATAACCATGTGCCACCATGAGTCTCCTGTTCTTATACCAGAAAGAACAAGTAAGGACCACTGCACAACCAAGGGAAGGTTCTAACCTGGCAGACACAGACCAGAACAAATAAACCAAAGCCAAATGCAAATAACAAGAAAAAGAATTTGGGGAAAACAGACTTTATGCACAGAGAAGATGACATCACAGCATGAGGCAAGAGTATGATTCTATTTTAAAAGAACAGTCAAAGAACAAAACACTCTAGAACCAGAAATCACACCAGAAGAAATGGATCTAGCATATGATCCAAGAGTCCCACTACCGTGTACATACCCAGAGGAACTGATATCAGTATTGC